CCTCACTTACACGTGAACTCTAAAAAAGGTCAACTTACAGAAGCAGAGCATAGACTAATTGTCACCAGAAGCTGGGAAAGAGGGCAAATAGATGCTGGTCATAGGGTATAAAGTTTCAGTTAGACAGGATGAGTAAGTTCTGGATACCTATTGTACAGCATGGTGACTACAGATAATAAATAATGTAGAGTGTATTTGGAAATTGCGAAGAGTGTAGACTACAAATATTCTCACCACACACACAAAAAGATAAATATGGGAGGTGATGGATATTTTAATTAATTTGACTTAATCATTCCACAATGTGTGTGTGTGTGTGTGTGTGTGTGTGTAAACATCACATTGTACTCCAAATATATATATGATTTTTAATTGTTAATTATTAATAAATAAAAGTCCATACACTTCACAAATCAATTCTCTTTTTAAGAGAAACTAAGTTTCATAGTGAAACTAAGTTTCATAGTGGTCCACCTTTGAGACAATAACATATTTGGAATTCTAAGGGAAATGGACAGACTTATCAAATGTCACCCAAAGATCATGGCTTGAAAGCAGCATGGAAGCATGGGAAAATCCAAAGTTAGACTAAGTGTGGAGAGCAGAGCATCTCTCATCTGCTAGTGGTGGACTTTCCTGACACGTGGCTACAGCAACAGATCAAGTCACCCTTGCATAGAGCTGCCACCTCCCAGAGAAATACAACTTCCATCAATTTACGTTATCATGATGGGAGGAGGGAAATCTTTTCCAACAATTATTGGGTGTAACTCTGCAAATGGATGTCACAATACATGAAATGGGAAACTGTTTAATTACTGCTGTTAGCTCTGATACCTTCTCTCTACAGATTCCTCACCAAGACCAAGCCAAAATAACTTAGCCCTAGCAGATCAAGAAAAACAGCCAGCACCAAATAGCCTCAGCCCTTCCCTAGCACAACCTTCAAATATTCATGTGCTAGACCCTGGGTGCTTCTCACCACCCCACACAGCCAGGCATCTCTCTGCCTTATGAACAGTCGCTGATTCCAGGGCTCCCTTGAAACACATTCCAGGAAGTGTACCCCATAGATGCCCTGATGTTGTGTTTTTCAATCAATGTTCAAACAAACCAAGACATTTTTGTACACTAGTTACGTGTGTGCTCTATGGAGTCATACTGGCTGTACCTCATCAGCTATGTGACCTTAGAAAAACGATTTAACAGGCCGGGTGCCGTGGCTCACACCTGTAATCCCAGCACTCTGGGAGGCCAAGGCGGGCGGATCACGAGGTCAGGAGATTGAGACCATCCTGGCTAACACAGTGAAACTCCGTCTCTACTAAAAATACAAAAAATATTAGCCGGGCATGGTGGTGGGTGCCTGTAGTCCCAGCTACTAGGGAGACTGAGGCAGGAGAATGGCGTGAACCTGGGAGGTGGAGCTTGCAGTGAGCCGAGATCACGCCACTGCACTCCAGCTTGGGAAACAGAGTGAGACTCTGTCTCAAAAAAAAAAAAAAAAAGAGAGAGAAAAACAATTTAACATCTGTGTGTCCAGTTTGACCACTGGTAAAACAAGGATAATAGAAGTATCTAATAATAGCATAATTTTCAAAGAAAATTTAAAAACATGACACATACAAATATAGATTGCACAACTCTCAAAGCTCTAACTCATTAAGCAGGAAACCAACAGGGTAAAAGTAGTTCAAAGAGCATTTGAAGAACTGACATTTTATAGACACTAGAATATCAGAATAAGATTGTTAGATTAGATACAAAACTGGTTAATGTCATAGAGGAAATATGTTCATAAACTTTGGAGTTATCTTTTCCACTAGACTGAAAACATTTGCATCTCTATCAGACAAAAACCTACACATTGATGAATAAGTTAAAGACTCTGGGCCCTATTTAGTCAATAGTAAGTGATACACAGGTACACACCCTACAGTTGCACTGTCAAATATGGTAACCACTAACCTCATGTAGCTATTTAAATTTAAATATAAATTAAATAGAAATAGATAAAACTGAAAATTCAGTTTCTCAGTCACTGTAGCCACATTTTATGTGCTCAGTGCCAGCTGTGACTAGTGGCTTCTGTGTTAGAGAGGACAGAATGGAGCATTTTTGCCATAGCTCAATGTTCTAGTGGACAGTACTGGCCCAAGAGAGTTCTCAAGTGAGTATATTAGCTTTCTGTTCATGCTGAAACAAATTACTGTAAACAGCAGCTTTAACACACACACACACACAAATTCATTATCTCACAGCTCTGTAGGCCAGAAATCCAGGTCGGCTCAATTGGTTTCTCTGCTTCAGGTTTCCTAAGGCCAAAACCAAGGTGTCAGCCAGTTGAGCTCTAATCAGGAGGCTCTAGGAAGAAAGCACTTGTAGGCTCCATGATACTTAGTTGCAGGACTGTGGTTCCTCTTTCCCTACTGGCTTTCAGCCAGGTGGCCTTACTCTTAGAGGCTGTTCGCATTTTTTTCTCCTGCTTTCCCTGTGTCCCTCTCCAACAACACAGCTCAGGTCCCTCCTGCCCTTCAAATCTCTGAATTCCCCTTCTGCTCTTGACGCACACCAGCTGAAGAAAGTTCTTTGCCTTTAAAGGGTCAGTTGATCAGACTGTGTCCACATTGACAGCCCAGGATAATCTCCCTATCTTAAATTCTATCAGCTTTATTACATATGCAAAGTCCTTTTTACCTGTAACACAACAATTCACAGGACCCAGGAATTAGAGTGTGGACATATTTGGAGAGGTCATAGCGGTCTCATTTGACAATGTTGAGTGTGACTTTAAAAGAATGTGCAACCCTCTTTTTGCCTTATTTCTAAGGGTTGGCTAATTTTTTTTTCACAACTTCCTAGGGCTATTGTAAAGACTAAATGCATTAACCCATATAACATGCTTAGAATAGATCTTGGTGTTATATGATCATTAACCTTTCTGTATCTACCAGCTGTTAGGTTGGAGTAGTAATCATTTCTTCAGTATGAGGCTGTTGTGAGATTTAAAATGTTAACATATTAAGAACATATTACAGTGCTCTACACATAAAAATGGCTCCGAATTCCTTTGGTCTTGGTGAAGAACCAAAGGTGGCATACTGGCAAGCAGTGTTTCTGCCTACTGGAGGGGTAGAAGAAAGAAGTTCCAGTACGTCTGCTCTCCACCCACCCTCTGGTGTCCTATATTCTAGCCACACACAGGGATGATACTACAGTCTGAAGATTTGTGCCATCAAAATTCACGTGTTGAAGCCCTAACCCCCAATAACTACATTTGGAGATAGGGCCTAACTTAAAATAATTAAGGTTAAACAATATCATAAGAGTAAGGCCCTGATCCAATAGGATTAGTGTCTTTATAAGAAAGGAATGAGACACCAGAGTTCATGCTTTCCTTCTCCTCAAGCACTGAGGAAAGGTCATGTGAGGACACAGTGAGAAGGCGGCTGTCTGCAAGTCAGGAAAAGAGCTCTCACCAGTAACCAAATTGGCCAGCACCAAGATCAAGATCTTGGACTTCCCAACCTCCAGAATGGTGACAAATAAATTTCCATTGTTTAATCTACCCACTCTATGGTACTTTGTCATGGCAACACAGGCTGAATAAAACCAAACCCACAAAGCCTCAACAACGACGACTCAGTGTGAACACCATTCTCCCTCAATGAGCTGTTGTTCTCCAGTGAAATATCCCTCCCACAGAACAAGAGGAAAATGGGAATCTGCTCGACTGTAGGCCAGAGAGGACAGAGGGAATAAAGACGAGCAGAATAATGCCTTGTGTATTTCCTCCCAGGGAAGCCAAATCCGCCATTACAGGTTTAAAGTCATCCTCTTTGTATGTAGCCTTTTGAGGTTAACATAAGGGCCAAAGGCAGATTTTTATTGGCATCGTGTTAAAACCTAAGCTGAAGCCATCTTTTAATCTTTTTTTTTTTTTTTTTTTTTTTTTTAAATTTATTTATTATTATTAAACTTCAAGTTGTAGGGTACATGTGCACAATGTGCAGGTTTGCTACATATGTATACTTGTGCCATGTTGGTGTGCTGCACCCATCAACCCGTCATTTACATAAGGTATAACTCCCAATGCAATCCCTCCCCCCTCCCCCCTCCCCATGATAGGCCCCGGTGTGTGATGTTCCCCTTCCCGAGTCCAAGTGATCTCATTGTTCAGTTCCCACCTATGAGTGAGAACATGCGGTGTTTGGTTTTCTGTTCCTGTGATAGTTTGCTAAGAATGATGGTTTCCAGCTGCATCCATGTCCCTACAAAGGACACAAACTCATCCTTTTTTATGGCTGCATAGTATTCCATGGTGTATATGTGCCACATTTTCTTAATCCAATCTGTCACTGATGGACATTTGGGTTGATTCCAAGTCTTTGCTATTGTGAATAGTGCTGCAATAAACATACGTGTGCATGTGTCTTTATAGCAGCATAATTTATAATCCTTTGGGTATATACCTAGTAATGGGATGGCTGGGTCATATGGTACATCTAGTTCTAGATCCTTGAGGAATCGCCATACTGTTTTCCATAATGGTTGAACTAGTTTACAATCCCACCAACAGTGTAAAAGTGTTCCTATTTCTCCACATCCTCTCCAGCACCTAAAACACCAAAAGCAACGGCAGCAAAAGCCAAAATTGACAAATGGGATCTCATTAAACTAAAGAGCTTCTGCACAGCAAAAGAAACTACCATCAGAGTGAACAGGCAACCTACAGAATGGGAGAAAATTTTTGCAGTCTACTCATCTGACAAAGGGCTAATATCCAGAACCTACAAAGAACTCAAACAAATTTACAAGAAAAAAACAAACAACCCCATCAAAAAGTGGGCAAAGGATATGAACAGACATTTCTCAAAAGAAGACATTCATACAGCCAACAGACACATGAAAAAATGCTCATCATCACTGGCCATCAGAGAAATGCAAATCAAAACCACAATGAGATACCATCTCACACCAGTTAGAATGGCAATCATTAAAAAGTCAGGAAACATCTTTTAATCTTGATTTTGGCCTTGTCTGTGACGCCTTTCCATCTTTAGTGTTCCTGAAACACCCCCCTGGGACTTCCAGCCACTGCAACTCTCTCACTTCATTTTACTCATTTTTGTTGCAGATGCAAATCGAAAGACAGGAATCCATGTATGCAAGAAATGTGCCTTTCTCTTGTAGAATTCTATGTAGCTTTTATTCAAAGCCCCTATTCACACCATGAGGCTCATATCAGTCAATATAGGATTCCCTACCCCTCTCTCCCCGGTATCTTAAGCACAACTTGAGTTTCACATTGAACCAAGGCTATAGGGACTATGTAAGGTTGAGAGGGTAGCAGGATAGGTGGCCTTTGACTGCCACCTAACCACACCCCTTCAGCTGGCATGTTCAGCATCCAGGTTCATTCTCAGTAGCTTTTCCTGCAGGACCCTCTTTAGCCATCAGTAGTTGCCTCCTAAGAGTGACTTTCCTGTAAGTCTGTGCTATCCTTAGCACATAGAATCAGTTTACAATTCCTCAGTCACGCTGGCTCTAGGTCTCTTCAGAGTTATCTGAGACCCCTCTTCTGGGGAACCCCTTGTAGTTGCTTTTACTTGACTCATGAACTATCTTCTGGAAACAGTCTCCAAGCACAAGTATATCCATGCACACAGTCCTCAACACTCCTTGCTTCTTCTCCTTAGAATGTAGCCAGCCAAGCCCTGCTTTCCCGGCCCAGAAAGGTGAGTGCTCCAAGACTGGTCACATGGATAATCACTTAAAACTAATTCCTCAATTGTGTCAGATAGATAGCCCCTAAACATCTGGTTCAGATAATCCTCCCCTCACCCCAGCCCCAAACGTTCCACCAAATGTTGCAAAGAAAAAAATACAACCTGTACAGCATTGCAGCTGGTCGGTGACCCAACTCTGCAGACTGACACCTGGGAACAAATCCACACCAGGAAGGAAGATCTGATTTCAGTGTGTTCATTTCCATGATTCAGGAATAAACTCTTCTCTCACCTCCTGTATCCCCAAAACCTTGAGAGAAGAATGTCACCCTGAAAACAGACAAAAACCTTAGGGGATGCTGCCACCAGTGAGGCTGCCCCAGGGCTTTGTGATATGAGCACTTAACATCTTTCAAGTGATCTCGCCAAGGCACCTGGCTCCATTTATTTATTATTGTGTTTCAAACCTTTATTGGTATTCCCAATGCATGCCAGGCTAGACCCAGAGTGATAAAGAGTAAGAGTTTCAGAGAAAATCTAAAAGAGCACTTACTACAAACTCCTGTTGTTACAGATTCATCCTGAGAGGGAAGGTTACACACCCAGAGTCACAAATTGCTTAAGTAGCATAGCTAGAACTAGAAGAACCTAGTATTGCTGACGATTCACAACCATGGGAAAACTGAGGCCTGAGGCTTGCAAGTACAGCTGGCTGAGAGGTCAGCTTAGATGTACAGACTTTCCATCCTCTTCAAAACCAACATTAGCTTCCAGGACAAAGGAAAAAAAATGTCGATTTTATTTTGTTCTGGGTGTTTTTGTAAGAAGGGCTTCTGAAAGCCAAAACAACTCCCTTCTTGCCAGAAAAGAGATCTTTGTTAGTAATCTGTTTGCTAGTCAGCTGATCTTAAGATCTTCCAGAAGCTCCAGGGTGTCTACTATGTTGAGATTTATCCAAGACTTATTGGCAGTTGTCACTTCACTTGCTTCATCAAGAAGGCTTCTGCCCATGAGGAGCTGCTTAAAAAGAACCTCACCATTAGGGGTGTTGTGCCTCTTGCATTCATTTTAATTCTCTGTGTTTACTCCAAACTCTATTACAGTTAATCGTACACATGTCTATTTCCTCTTGTGGATATAGAGTGCTCTCCCTTCATCATTTCCTGCTTCACTCCCATACCCCTCTTTTCACACACCACTGCAACCACTTTCTATCTGATCTCTTGGTTTCCATCCACCACCAGTTATCAAAATGATCTTTGTAAAATGCAAAGCAACTCAAGTCTTCACCCCACTCCATCCCTGCTTAAGTGCTCCTCATGATCTCCTGCAGCCAGAATTAATTGAAGAATTTACTTCAAAAGACCCTCTATGATCTTGCACCAAGCAGATCTAATCAGTTTTATCTTCTAATAATGCCTACATCCTCCTCCTAACCCTATGGACCGGTGAGACTAAAGACCACACCATTCTCCAAAACCATCACCCTTTTTTGTATTATCATACCATGCCACATGGCTAGAAAGTCTTCCTTCCACACCATCACATAAAAGTCTCCAAATCAACCTTCACTCAGTTCAACTGTCACCATGTTAGTTAACTATTTCTCACTGCCCTTGGAAAGTGACTTACTTCCTCTATTCCTGTGATACTGTACCCATTTATCCACCATATTCTACACTGTTGGCTAAAGCAAACTGAGAGTTCTCAAAGAGTAGGAACTGGGTGTTGTTCATTACTCATTACTTGGGTTCTTGATAAAATTCTTTCAATAAGTCAATGGCAAGACTTGCATCATTAACCTTTCTATTCGTAATTCTTAACATAGTATCATGGCATACAGTAAACACTCAAATTACATCTAAAAAAAGAGAGAAAGGAAGGAAAGAAGGAAGGAAGGAAGGAAGGAAGGAAGGAAGGAAGGAAGGAAGGAAGGAAGGAAGGAAGGAAGGAAGGAAGGAAGGAAGGAAAGAAAGAAAGAAAAGAAAATGGGAGGGGAAGGGAAGGGAAGGGAAGGGAAGGGAAGGGAAGGGAAGGGAAAGGAAGGGAAGGAAGGGAAGGGAAAAGAAAGGAAAGGAGAGAAGCCTGTCACCCAAGCTCACCTATGAGTTCTTCCCTTCATTTCCACTCTCTGCCTGGGTCAGTAACACTACTTGCTCTTTGTGCAATTCCCTAACTTTGGGCTTCTCTGGATGAAGGTGCTGAAGCCATATTTGCAGTACGTGACAAAAAATTTTCCTATATTCTCCCATTAAGAGCATCAGTAAATTAGATTAGTGGTTTTGACATTTTTCTGCCTGCTTGTTGACCTAATCCTCTATATAGAGCCTCTATATTCCTTTCTCATGGCCCATCTCAGTGTTTATAAGGTGGTAGAAGTTGTGGGACTTACCTGTCGCTGGGCCAAGGTCAGAGAGAGCAAAGCACAGCTTTATTAGACCTTGGAAAAGTTCCCAATAGGAGGCTCCTTCTCACATACATAGGTTGTAACTGGTAAAATATCCTGTAGCAGCTTCTAACTCCACTGAAAAGGCAGACCACGGCCAGTAACCCTCACCTAATATATCAATGTAAATCTTATTTCTATCACCTTTTATTCCTCACTCCTTTCTGTGCCCAAGCTGTATGAGGTCACTAGGAAATTGTTTGAGTTTCCTTCCCCAAGTATGGAGGAACCCACTTCACATTGCCTCTTTTTTTTTTCCTCTGCTTAGATTCACTACCAGTTGGGGATTAAAAGTTTTATGTCAATGTTATGGCAGAATCGGAGGCTTCTAGAACTTGGAGTACCTTAAAAAGTTATTTGTCTGGGTTTCTCATTACAGTGGAGGACGCAGAGGGTGTACAAGAGAATAAGTTCACTGTTGTCATTAAGCAGAAGTAAACTGGCTAAAGAAGTACTCTGAAAACTGCTACCCACATGGTTTTCCTCACTCTGGCACCAGAATCTTAACTGAAATAGACAGTGCTGTTCAAGCAGCTCAGGTGTCTCTATAGAGCAATGCGTGGAGGGGTCTTAAACTCAGGATTTTTATAATAACAGTTAATTTTAAAAGATTGACTTCCATGCTTTATGTTGAAAACTAGCTATAGTTGTCTCCATTGACAATCTAAGCTTGTATTCATTAAAAAAAAAAAAAAAAACTATCAGTTTTAGTTCTTCCTTGCTAAGAAATGTTAGAAAGTTTCTAGCTGGACAGAGTAAAGAAAGACTCCCAGCTCTGGTCCACTCTGGGTTTTTCGTCTTCCTCCAGGCTATGTTAACCCTCTTAGGGCCCCACATTGTTTCCTTCCCTTGTGATCTGCCACTTCCTTTCCTGAGTCAAGGTCATATTTTCAGCTTCAGCTTGTGCTTTTCTCTAAGCTTTTTTGCTATGGTAATAAAACGCCAGTTTTATATTTGACAACTTTTTGTAAAATGGTCAACTGAGGGGGGTCTAACATACAAATGGATTTGCTCCATTGGCTGGAAGCAGGGTGACTTGATATTTCCTGTGTAATGTTAATAAGTATTTGCCTTGTGTGGAGCAAGTCAGAATTTTTCCTATTTAACTATTTCATGCCTCTGCTCCCTGGATTACATTAGCAGGGAGGAATGAGTCCTTTGGGAGTGGTTAGTACAATAGGTTTTCATTTCTAATATAGCTTGACCAGTTGCAATGAGATTCCAGAAAAAAAAAAAAATTGCCTAAATTAAAAGCATGATTTCTCCTGGACAGAGATCTAAACCCCAGTCTAATGAGGCTTAGTTCCTTTAAAGAACATTTAATCTGGGTAAGGATATTAACTCCTTACACAAAAGACACTCAGCTAAACAGTTTACATTATTATTTCATTTAATTCTCACAACATTACAATGAGATAGATATTATTATTATTACAAATAAAGATTCTAAGGCTTAAAGAGATTAAGTTGTGCAATACTACACATATATTAAGTGGCAGAATTAATTCCATATATACATGTGGTTCTACAGCAAAAACTTAGCATTTAATCATTGTACTAAAATGCTCAGGCACTCATAGGCATGGATAGTGCTGAATCTCTGTATTGCAATGGGAAACAAACCTATGCTTTAGATGCAAGCCAGGGTACTTAGAATACACTGGCAGTTTCTGGACTGCCAGTTTAGGTGTCATCCTTTTAGAACTGGCTAGTAATCTCTTAAATACTTCCAAATTTGATATCTCTGAGCTATCTATCTTCAGTCTTTCAAAGTCTCAACACTTTTGCAAGCTTACCTCTTGATGAGGGTAGAGATGAAAGTAGAATGTGTTAGACACCAGGGTTTATCTGTAAAGGGGAAGGAGAGATTACGACTTGGGTGATTAAGTGGGGGTTGGGGGTGTATCCTGATGAAAGAAACTCATATCAGAAAGCTCAGCTGAATGTCTTCAAGATCTGAAGACACAAACATGTGAACCACTTTGCCTTTTACAAATTCCTTTTGCTTAAACCCATCTTGGCTTCCTATTTTCTATTCTCTAATTATTCTCAGTCCCAACTCATTATACTTTTCGTACGGGATTCCATACTTCAGACTTATTTTATTCTGATTCTTTTTGTTCAGTGTTCTGTGTGTGCCTATTAAATCTAGTTGAATTTTAGCATTGATGAAGTATTCTAGTCCCATACGGATCTTCTTCCCAATTGTCCTATTCAAATTGAGGCACGAAGATCTCCAACTATTATTATCGAATTGCCTATATCTTCCTTCAATTCTGTCAGTTTTTGTTTGATTTGTTGTGGGACACTGTTTTTAGGTTTATTTTAGTTATATGTTTATAATCATTATATCTTATGGTAAATCGACATTTATATTAATATATAATGCCATCATTTGTCTTTTGTAACAGGTTTTTACTTAAAGCCTTTTTGTCTGATATTAATATAGTCACTCAGCTCTCTTGGTTACTGTTTGAATGGTATAAATTTTTAAATTATTTTACTTTCAGCCTACATGCTTCTTTGAATTTAAGGGTGTCTTTTGTAGACACCATATATTTAGATAATTTTTATCCATTCTGCAGATCCCTGCCTTTTAATTGAAGTATTTAATACATTTACATTTAATGTACTTACTGATAAGGTGTGATTTATGTATGCCATTTTGCTATTTGTTTTCCATTTCATAGGTCTTTTTTGTTTCTCTATCCTTAAATCATTGCATTCTTTTGTGTTAAGTAGGTATTTTTTTAGTCTGCTATTTTATTCCCCTTGTTTCTTTCACTTTTTTTTAAGTCATGGATTAGTGTTGTTCTGGTCATTACAATATTGTATTTTGACTTATAACATTCTAGCTGAGATTAATATCAACCTAATTTCAATA